TGAAGCCCTATTAGCCAGACTAAGGCTAGCCGAAGACATGGGTGCTTCAAAAATCAAATGCTTGACTGATTCCAAGGTTGTGGCCGAACAAGTGGGCGGTAACTTCCAAGTAAAAGATCACAACATGATGAAGTACTACCACGCCTATCAAAAGCTGAAGGCAAACTTCCAAGAGGTGTTGGTCGAGCACATCCCTCGCGAGGACAACACCCGAGCCGATCAGTTGGCTAGGTTGTCCGCAACCAAGAAGCTGGGCCAATTAAGAACCATCGTCCAGCAAGAGATCGACCACCTTAGTGTCGAAGTGAAAATGGTAGGAAGTGTCGATGCTGACCACACCGATCCTAACAACTCCCCAGATTGGCGAGCCGAAATTAAAGCATTCATCACCAACGGGATCACGCCGGACGACCCGACCGAGACCAAACGGCTGAGAACCCAGGCTAGTAGATATGTCATCATCGCCGGTCAGTTGTACAGGCGTGGCTTCTCTACTCCACTACTCAAATGCCTAGACCAAACCGAGGCCGATTACGTGATGTGAGAAGTTCACGAGGGTATTTGCAGAATGCACTCGAGCGAGAACGATCGTTTCCAAACTCTTGCGTGCCGGGTACTATTGGCCAACCATGAATACCGATTGCGGAGCCTTTGTGAAGAAGTGCCAACAATGTCAGAAGCACGGCAACTTAATTCACCAAGCTGTTGAGCAGCTGCATTACATTCCCTCAGCGTGGCCGTTCGATGATCGGGTCCTCCTCCCTGGTCGGCGGCACCAAGGCCCGAGTCGAAATACCTCACCGAGGGGCCTCTTCGTCAGGCTGGGCCCCTTGAGGGAACTCAGCATAACTTATAAACTTACCACCATAGAAGTCCCGACTAACATCAAAATTAAAATCAGTCGGGACCTCACAGAAGTGGTAGGCTTGTCTAACTGCATGCTGGAAGCCGGCATCATGTTGATCCAGAATCTTCTCGGTGGCTTTAGCCTCAAACTTGGCAGCAGTCTCCTTCAGCCGGGAAATCTCGTTGGCGGAAGCGGTGGCCTCGACCTTCATTTTTTGAATGGCCAACTTCAAGTCGTCGGCCTCCCTTCTATGGGCGTCGGTGGCCCTCTTCAATTCCTCGGCCGACTCAGTTACCTTGGCGTTTGCAGCCAACACCTCCTTCAAAGTGGTCTCGGCCTCTTTGAGTCGTCCATAGAGCCTCTCCTCCGAGACGGCGAACCTCATCATGACATATTTAGCAACGAGGGAGGTCTGAACATCAAGCTCACAGAAGAGCTTATACTCGGCCTCCACGGACATACCCTCCAGATACTGAAGTCCCCCTCCGGTAGTGAGGTCCAGGCTAACCAGGTTCTCGGCCTGCACGTTCGGCACAAGGAAATTGCCACCAGCAACAACATCTAGAATGGCGAAAGCACCGCAACCCGATTGATCCAAAGATAATTGCTTCGGACGCTTGCTCGAGGAGCTCAGACACTCCGGCTCTATGTTCTGCTCGGCAGGTCGTGCCTGAGAAGTACTGCCCTTCTTTTTGGGATCGGCCAGAGGAACTTGCACGTGGGCGGGCCTATCCCGCTGCAACTTCAGGGCCGACCTCGCTGGCGGCACCTTCCCACTAGCCTTCGCGTCTTTTGCCCTCTTGGCGAGCATAGCGGTCACATCAAGATTACCTCCAGCCATTAATCCTGCAACAAAACAAGTCTTAACATCAATTTAAAACACTGCTACACCACCGAAGCCTGAAACACATACCTAGCAAGGCCATCTCAAAATGAGACGTTTCAAAAATATCCAAGAGGCCTCAGACAGGTAACTCCTTCGGCAGTTTGTCCAGGAGCTCCTTAATCTCTCCCCGTCTACCCACTCGTACCCAGGCATCTCCACCGTGCCGTAGTCAATCTTTGCCATAGCCCGAGTACTCGGACCAATCACACCCTTGCCTCGGTTATCACCGACCACCTCCAAGTCATCTCCACTTGTCTCAGCCTGAACGGTGTCAATGCATTCTGTATGGTGGCCGACCTGGCCAGGAACCCGAGCATCCACTTCAGTAGCTCGTGCCAAAGCCACTGCTAACGTCACCGATGGCGGCACCTCAACAACTTCATCCCCACTATCCTCCTACTCGGCAAGATCGGAGGGGAACACTACTTCGCATTGCAACGGAGGCAACCTTGATACTTCACTCGAAACCGACCCCTCTTTATCGGACGTAGCACCCGACGCCTCCGAGGACGTCCAACTCCTGGCCGAGGAATAGCCCCTATCCATTTATTACCAAAAATAAAGAATACAAAATTTACCTTGATCGGTGTGTTCGGTCGAATCTGATTACGAGAGCGCTCGGGAAATTTACGGCAAGTAAATTCCCACGCGCCCCCTATTTATAGGCAAGGTAAATGGGGGAGGTGAAAAGACATCCCGAAACTGCAGTCGTTCGATCTGGATCATCCAACGGTCCAGATTTAGTAACCGTCGGGCCTGTAACCGCTAGGGCCAACGTGGCAGTCCACACCCACCGAGGTCTCGGCGTAGGCTCCAACCGCTTGAGGCATCGGTGTAGACTTCATCCGTCTAAGGCCTCGGCATAGGCCTCATACAGCCTAGGTCTCGACCTAGGATTCGTCCAGCCGAGGTCTCGGCATGGGTTTCTTCCGTCTGAGGTCTCGGCATAGGCTTCATCAGTCCACACCCACCAAGGCCTCGGCGTAGGCCCCAACCGCTCAAGTTCTCAGTGTAGACTTCATCCGTCTAAGGCCTCGGCTCATCCAGTCTAGGTCAGCCTAGGATCCGTCCAGTCGAGGTCTCGGCATGGGTTTCTTCCGTCTAAGGTCTTGGTATAGGCTTCATTAGTTTGAGGTCTCGGCATACCATTAGAAATCAGCCCTACTGACTCAGCCTTTACCGTTAGAGCTCGGCCACTATCATTGCTACATAATAGCTGACGACCATAACTGTAACGTCCCAATACAACTACCGAGGTCATTGAAAATCAGCTACACTAGGAACACGCACATTACCACTAGCGGTCGGAACCAACCCCTATCCTTCCACGCCGAGAACCACAACCCTACATTTTAACCGTCTTCGTCTTTTGCATCCTCAACGCTGCGGGGGTTGTATACCGTATGGTAGCCGATCAGGTCGAATACCCGAGTCCATGGCCGACTAGGCCGAATACCCGAGTCCGCAAATGATTAGGCCGAATACTCGAGGCCACCGACCACTCACAATCTGAACAGAACGTGTCGGTGTGCTCGGCCAAGCCCCATATTTACACCAGGATGATTACGAAGAGGTTAATTTAGGTAATGCACCGGATTAACCCCCTAATTTCCTGGGGCCCAATCCTTAATCACGGCCCAACTAGAATCACTATAAATAGGACCCCAACGAGGTACGTAACTAACTTTCAACTACCGCATTTATTACGCCGAGCATTTACTTGAGCGTCGGAGTGTCTTTGCAGGCAACCCCCCCCCCCCTTTTACTTCAGACTACTCGGAGCAGGACGAGAAGACCTAGACCTAAGACCAAACCCGCTACAATAAGAATAATTGGAGTGTATATCCTAACACAGGAACAATTTCGATTAAGTATACTACTTTTGCTGCAAAGCACATTGTGGTAGGAATTGACCCCTTATCTTTTAATAAAATAGTTGTTTAGCCTAAAATAAAAAGTTGTTAGTCAATCATCACTAGTCTAAAGTTTGGAGTAATATAAGCGTAGCGTTTTTTCAAAAGTTTGTAATCTATATCTTAAGGCTTAATTATTTTTTTTCCATTCCATTTGGATTTAATTTTCTTTTGGTCTTTGAATTTAAAAGCGATTATTTTTGTTCTTCTAATTTTCTAAAATAGCCCACTTTTTGGTCTTAAGAGTTAAGACTAAAATGATTTTTTTTAAAGAGTTAAAAATGATCATAAAATGGTTGGTAGCTATAAAAGTGTTTGTAATGTCACATTATAGGATAGAAACAAATTATGAGTAGGCAACTCCCAACATATACTTTATATCTAAAATAATACTCTTCTTTTAAACAAATTAACTTGAGTTGACAATTTATCTAAAATAACTCGCCAAATTTAAGAGAAACAAAGTTATTAAAAAAAATTCAAATTAAAATAACAGGATAAAAAATTATAAGCTAATTTAACTATAAAATGGTTAATAGCTTCCTTCTTAAAAACATTTACCAGTTTTACCGACAAATTCTCTTTTCACACAAAAAATCCATCGTCCATGCACCTCCGTACCCACACTTTGTAAAACAATCCTTAAGGCACAAAGCAGACACTATTTATGTGTAAAATAGAAAAATAAAATATTAACACTAGGTAACATAAATAGTAATAGTTGTTTCTTTTAATCTAATTTGTTCAAAATTTAAACATTTTGACATTTAGTGTAGAATATATTATGTTGAAAGAAAAATATTATTTTACATGTATATACAATTTCAATGAAAATTAGTCACTTTTCAATAATAAATACTTAATTATATTAATATTATGGTTTAAAAAATTATAAAATTAATTTTTTTTTTCTTTGTAATGATAAGTTTACATTTGAAAAAGACATGACATCATATAAAATTAGAATTAATCACTAATTTCTCTAAACATTTTTAACGAGATTACAAATTGTTTATTCCACTCTTAATACAAATTTTCGTAGAAAAATATAAAATGTAAAAGAAGAAGAATTTAATCCTAATTCTCGTAGTAAAATATAAAATGTATAAAAGAAGAAGAATCTAACCCTAAATTTAACTAATAAGAACAAAATAGACTTAATTAGTTGTAGCACACAAACAAATCAAACCTTGTGTACTCTGTGTATAGGAAAAATAATGACATGCCCCGTATACCTCGGTGTCTCGAATGTGTGGAACTTTCTCCGAAATGCTAACGCTGTTTTCTATTTTACTAAGAAAAAAAGAACGCGTGGGACACAACCCCAAAGCCGCCCCTCCTTCTATAAATTCTCATCGTAGTAGGAAATGATGAATCACACCAAGGTAAACAAAGATGGCTGCTAGGTCTAGTGCTTATCCTTTCTACTCTTTCCTCTTCATTTCTTCCATTTTGTTCATTTCACACATCAATGCCACCCAAACACAAGCCAAGCCCCCAGTAGTAAAGGGTCTATCATATTCTTTCTACTCTAAAACATGTCCCAAACTTGAAACCATTGTTAGAAACCATCTCCAGAAGGTCTTTAAAAATGACAATGGCCAAGCTCCTGCCTTACTTCGTATTTTCTTCCATGATTGCTTCGTTCAGGTAAATAAATGCAACCAACTTAATATTGGGTGGATCAAGTTAAAATTTAGACAAAATCAATACTCATTTTTTTTAATTCATACTCGACTCGGATATGTGGTGAACCAAATTGATCAACCAAGTTGGGATTACTTTGACACCTCTAATTTTAAGATATCAAAGTTAAACCTTTTAAACTTAGGAAACTATATAAAAACCAAAATTAAAAATACAAGATTGAAATTCCATTATAGCTTGAAATTATATACTCTGTTATCAAATCATTTTGTGAAAAACTTGTAAATGGACATAATGGTTAAACACTCTACACTTACACATTGCACAGATGATTTATTTAACGAGAACTTCATATACAATTCTTCATGTATACAAAAACCTATAGAACTAGTGATAGTCACAATATTATTGTTGCAATTAATCTTTGGTTCAATGGATTGAGGGGTGCTTATGAAAGAAAAAAAAAATCATTTTTTTTTTAAGAAAAAGATGGTTGTAACTATATATGTAAAACGTGCATGTTTCATGACTAAGGTTAATAATAATCTCCAATTTGCATGTGTAGGGATGTGATGGGTCAGTGCTGCTAGATGGGAGTCCAGGTGAAAGAGACCAACCAGCCAACATAGGCATAAGAAGTGAGGCTTTGCAAACCATTGATGACATAAGAGCTCTTGCTCATAAGGAGTGTGGAAGGATCGTTTCCTGCGCAGATATCACTGTCTTGGCAGCTCGTGATGCTGTTTTCCTAGTAACCTCACTGTCCTTATTACTTCTATATTTTGTAACTCAAATGCTATATAATTTCTCTCTCTCTCGACAGGATATAATATGCTCCTACTATATAACTATTTTTTTGAAGTTTTTCTTTATGATAATATTTGATCATCCAAGATTTTTCAATTAACAAACTAGTAACTTAGGAGAAATAAAATGTTGACTTAAACTTATTTTTAATCTTTATTAAATATGTAAGTTTTGATTTTGGTCATATAAATTTTTCTTTGTTTTTTATTTTTCTTTTAAATTTGAAAATCAATTTTTGATTTTGGTAAAATAATTTTTTTATGCTCTAATATCTCTATAATATATATATATATATATATATATATATATATATATAAAATATCT